TTCAGCCATACTTTCCTGATGGTGGCCTGAACAGTGCTTCCTGGAGGAGGGGATCAGTTCTGCTGGCTAAGTTCTGGGCTTGATCATCTCTCTTGGCACAGCCAGCTGCTGGAGAGTGCTTGCGCTAATGGTTCGTTTATTAGTGCACATACCACTAATTTCCAGAGCTGAGAATCCTGTCCCTGAAAACGTATGGATAAACAGTAAGAAAATGGCTTTGGGATGCTGGTTGAGTCTATGTGAAGAAGCAGGCGAGGATCTGGAAATAATGGTGTCTTGTTCTCTTACGGCAAGAGGAGCAAGTTCTCTTTGAGAACTTAATGAAAAGGACCATGGGGTGGGGAACAAGAGCCTGAGGTTAAGGCAGAGGCCAGATTGGACTGAGGCAGCTTTTCCTGCAGGTGATCCAGCCACTTGAGATATATTTGCAGACTTGCTAAGGATGCAGTCTGCTGATGGACATGATCAGAAGATGGCTTTGATATACAAGGCTTAGAAGGATGGGACAGGAGCTTTTCTAGGCCTCTGGTAATATGTGTGGGCCACCTAATTCCAATGTCTAGAGAGGTGTGAAAAGTTATGTGAAGGGTACAGAAGGGTAGAGAGGATATGGTCCCTTGGGGTTTTACCATCAGTCAAGAGTTTGCGGTTCTGAGGTGGCTCATTGTTAAATCAGGGATATGATACTCTTCCAGAACTTCAGCTAATGGAGTTCAGTCTTTCTTCTCTTTCCTCCATCCCTTTACCTAAAGACTTTCTCCCGCCCAGTCACTTAGGAAGCAGGAAGTTGGGAGATAGGGAATCCTGGCCTAGAGATTGGAGGGAAAGTTCCAACATTCAGCTAATGGAGTTCAGTCTTTCTTCTCTTTCCTCCATCCCTTTACCTAAAGACTTTCTCCTGCCCAGTCACTTAGGAAGCAGGAAGTTGGGAGATAGGGAATCCTGGCCTAGAGATTGGAGGGAAAGTTCCAACATTGACCACATCCTGAGGGGAGAGTGAAGAACTAGAAATCTGTGCATCTTCCTCTTCTTCCAGGAAACTCTGATTGGTATAGGAGCCCTGATAAAATCAGAATTTAACTGCATAGTTAAATAGAAATGGACTTCCGATTTCTGAGAAGACTGATGTTCTGGAATTGTGGGGGTAGTTGATTTCAAGGAGGAAAACAGGTGGTGGTGGATGCTGGCATGGACTGGGGGGAGTCTCCCCAGGATGGAGACCGAATCCAGGTCCCTTTAGAGACCCTTGGGATCAGCCCTTTGATATCAATTCTGCCAGCCTTAGAACCCAGGGCCCCAGAGATTAGGTCTGGGACCCAGGGTTTTGGTTACGATTGGAGAACTGGGCTGTGAGGCAGAGGGTAAACTGGGAGAGCAGTTGGCTAATGCCCCCAAAGCTTTGGGATATGAAGGGTTGAGACCAGAGCCAGGGAGGCAAGGGACTCATGTGGTCTAGAATGGCAGCTATCTGGGAATTGGAGGGTGTTTCAGATCCTTTCAAGTAATGAGGTCTGGCAGAATGGGTAAGTTGGTGGGACCATGCCTTTTTCTTGCTTGTGTGTCCTGGTCCCTACCCAGAGCCTGGCAGAAAACAGGTGTCTGATACGTGTCATCAAGTGACTGAGGAATTCAGGGCAAACAGGTTGTCGCAGTACCAGCTGGGCTGTTAGTGGACGAAGCTATGCAGAGCTGTAGGCCATGTTTCCATATTTGATTCTTACGTTTTTTTGTGTGTGTGTGTGTGTGTGCAGGCCAGTATGGGGATCTGAACCTTTACAAAACTTTATTTACAAAAATCAACTACATTGCATAATGATAAATTAAAAAATAAATAAGTAAAAATTTTTAAAAAGAAACTTCATTTAGAAACAGTTTCAAACTTCCAAAAAAGTTGCAAGAATAAAAATGGTATAAGAACACTTAACACGCGTTCTCTTTACTCACATTCACTTACTGTTAACGTCTTGCTCCATGTTCTCGCTCTCTCCATATATACACGATATGTTTTGTTCTGAACCATTTGAGGAGTTGCATCTAGCATGGCCCACTACCTCTAAATACTTCAGTGGGTATTACCGAAGACTTGGTATATTCTCTTACATAACCACAATAATCAGTCAGTTAAAACTGATGCTTTCACTTACTGTCTATATTCCAATTTTGTCATTTTATCCACTTATGTTTTTTTCCTTTAACTTTTATTTAGGTATAATTAACATATAATAAACTGTACATATTTAAGATGTAATTTTGGTAAGTTACTGTAAAACCACAATCAAGATAATAAACATATCCACTCTCCCAAAAGTTTCCTAGTGCCCTTTTGTTATACCTCCCCCATTGTCCCACTCTGCCCCCATCCCCAGGCAACCACTGATCTGCTTTCTAGCATTCCAGGTCAGTTTGTATTTTCCGGAAAGGATTCCGATTTCTCCACATCTTAACCAATACTTATTATTTTATTTTTATTTTCTGGGCAGCAGGCCAGTAGGGGAATCTGAACCCATGACCTTGATGTTATGAGTCTGCACTCTAACTAACTGAGCTAACTGGCCAGCCCATATTTTATTTTATTTTATTAATTTATTTATTTAAAATATGACTGGTAAGGGGATCTTAACCCGTGACTTGGTGTTATCAGCACCACACTCTCCCAAGTGAGCCACGGGCTGGCCCTTGTACTTTATTCTTTTTTATTGCTGAGTATTATTCCATTCTATGGGTAAACCACACTTTATTTGTATTCTTCTGATGGGCCTTTGGGGGGGTTATTTCCAGTTTTGGGGTGATTACAAATATAGCTGTTATAAACATTCCTGTATAGGATTTTGTGTGGACATATATTTTCATTTCTCTCTGGCATATACATAGGAGTGAACTGGTCATATGGTAAAGCTATGTTTATCATTTTGACAAACTGCCAAACTGGTGCTATAAAAGGACATGAGATCCATACCTGAAGTCATGTACAATTAACTCAAAATGAATCATAAACCTAAAACTATAAAACTTATAAAAGAAAACAAGGGAAAAAATCTTTGTGATCTGGGGTTAGGCAAAGACTTCTTAGATAACATGCCAAAAGTATGATTCATAAAAGAAAAAAACACCGGATGATTGGACATTGTCATTAGGAGAATAGAAAGATAAATTTTTGAATTTTTGCCAATCTGATGAGTGAGAAATGTTAAGATAGTTTTAATTTCCATTTTTCTTACTATGAGTGAAGTTGAATATTTTTTCATAGGTCAAAGGACCATTTTTATATCTTCTTGTGAGTTAGTTACTCTTGGTTTGGGCCCATTTTCTGTAGAATTTTTGGCCTTTTTTCTCCTCAGTTTTTAAAAGTTTTTTCTCTGTTATGGTATCGGCTCTTCATTTGTTATGTATGTTGCAAAAATTCTCTCCCACTTTGTCATTAGTCTTTTACTTACTTATGATGAAAGTGTTTTATGTAATGAAATCTGTCAGTCTTTTACTGCATCTGGATTTTGTATCATACTTAGAAAGCCTTTCCCTACACCCAGATTATAGAGGAATTTACCCATTATTTTCTTCCCACATTTCTGTAGTTTTACTTTTTATATTTCGATCTCTGATCCACTTGGAAGTTATCCTTCTGTATTATTATATACACAAGATTGTGTATTCTTATAACACTATTAATAAGACCATTTTGCCCCAGTAATTTTAAATATCTCCTTTATCACTCACTAGATTTCTATATTACAGAAGCTTTGTAGTATGCAGTATTTTAATATCTGGTAGAGCTAGTCCTTCTTTATAACTCATTTTTATTATTTTCCTAGATATTCTTGTGGGTTTAGTTTTTCATGTGACCTTTAGTGTCAGTTTGTCTAGCTTCATAAAAAAAGTAATTTTATTGGGATTTTTGATGATACTGAGATGCCCTAACCAAAAACAAGGGATATTCAAGTCTTTTGTGTCTTTCAGGAATTAAGGTTTTGTTCATATAGGTTTTGAATGTTTCTTGTTAAGTTTATTCCTAAATATTTCATGGTTTTTGTAAATAGGATTTTCTCACCCATTATCTCTTCTGAATTATTATTTGTACATAATGAAGGCTATTGACTTTTGTAGGTTAATTTTTTATCCTGCTACCTTGTTCAGTTCTTTGCTTGTTTGGTATATTTTCATAATTAATTCTCTTAGCATTTTCCGGGTATATTCTCATAGTATCAGCAAAAAACCAGTTTTGCTTCTTTTCTTTTTCTGCGTTTAATTGTTTTCTGTAGTCCAGTTGCGTGGCTGATACCTGCAACAGAATGTTAAGTAGTCTTGGAGATCATAGGCATCTTGGCTTTGCTCCTGACATTCATGGAAATACCTCTTGTTGCTTCCTTGTTAGGTAAGGTGCTGGCTGACTTTAGCCCTGAGGTGTGATATTTGATTTTTAAAATCAGTAATCTCAGGGCAGTTTGGTTTGAGGAATGGGAGGTAGATGATCTCACCCCTAACCCTAAACTCCGGATGGAAGATTGGAAACGAAATCTGTCAGGTAGGGAAGGAGAATTGGGGGTTTTTTTGTGCTCTCCTTTCCACCATCACTCTATTTCCCCCTCAAACATATTGTTTTGTTTTGTTTTGTTGGCTGGCTGGTACAGGGATGTGAACCTGTGTCCTTAGCGTTACAAGGCTACACTCTAACAAGCTCAGTTAACCATCCTGCCTCAAACATATATTGCTTTTCTGAGGACTCACTCATTTTGGAGTGGTGAAGCATGGTGTCCTAATCCTGTTCTCCCATGCAAGCTGACTCCCTGGGTTAGGGGAAGGGCAGCTCTTTTCTAAAAGAACTCTGGGGTCAACCTCCTGGCCTTTATCTTCCTTCATTTTTTCACTTGTTGCTGCCCCTCACATTCTCCACCCCATGGGGGTGTGGAGCCACATGCCTTTGTGGTGATGGTTGGTTTTCTCTGTACTCTCTTTAGGTGCATGGCTCCTTCCTAATCCTGTAGCCCAGAGGACACATCCCTAGAAGCGTGGGTGAGTAAGCCCAGCAAGCCAAGGGCAGCCTTGAGCCTTCCCCTTGCCTGCCCTCCCCTGTGGGGGCCAGGATGCTGAAGAAGCAGTCTGCAGGGCTTGTGCTGTGGGGTGCTATACTCTTTGTGGCCTGGAACGCCCTGCTGCTCCTCTTCTTCTGGACACGTCCAACGCCTGGCAGGCCACCTTCAGATGATGCTCTTGATGACGATCCTGCCAGCCTCGCCCGTGAGGTGATCCGCCTGGCCCAGGATGCTGAAGTGGAATTGGAGCGTCAGCGGGGGCTGTTGCAGCAGATCAGGGAGCACCATGCTCTATGGAGCCAGCGGTGGAGGGTGCCCACTGCAGCCCCTCCTGTCCGGCCACATGTGCCTCTGACCCCACCACCAGTTGTGATCCCCATCCTGGTCATTGCCTGTGACCGCAGTACTGTCCGGCGCTGCCTGGACAAGCTGCTGCATTATCGGCCCTCAGCTGAGCACTTCCCCATCATTGTCAGCCAGGACTGTGGGCACGAGGAGACAGCCCAGGTCATCGCCTCCTACGGCAGTGCAGTCACACACATCCGGCAGCCCGACCTGAGCAACATTGCTGTGCCACCTGACCACCGCAAGTTTCAGGGATACTACAAGATCGCACGGCACTATCATTGGGCACTGGGCCAGATCTTCCACAACTTCAAGTTCCCAGCAGCTGTGGTGGTGGAGGATGATCTGGAGGTGGCTCCAGACTTCTTCGAGTACTTCCAGGCTACCTATCCACTGCTGAGGGCCGACCCTTCCCTCTGGTGTGTGTCTGCTTGGAATGATAACGGCAAGGAACAGATGGTGGACTTGAGCAAGCCTGAGCTGCTCTACCGCACAGATTTTTTTCCTGGCCTGGGCTGGCTGCTATTGGCTGAGCTCTGGGCTGAGCTGGAGCCCAAGTGGCCCAAGGCCTTTTGGGATGACTGGATGCGCAGGCCCGAGCAGCGGAAGGGGCGAGCCTGTGTGCGCCCTGAAATCTCAAGAACAATGACCTTTGGCCGCAAGGGTGTGAGCCATGGGCAGTTCTTTGACCAGCACCTCAAGTTCATCAAGCTGAACCAGCAGTTCGTGCACTTCACCCAGCTGGACCTTTCATACCTGCAGCGGGAAGCCTACGACCGGGATTTCCTTGCCCGCGTCTATGGTGCTCCCCAGCTACAGGTGGAGAAAGTGAGGACCAACGATCGGAAGGAGCTGGGGGAGGTGCGGGTGCAGTACACAGGCAGGGACAGCTTCAAGGCCTTTGCCAAGGCCCTGGGTGTCATGGATGACCTCAAGTCGGGTGTCCCCAGGGCTGGCTACCGGGGCATTGTCACCTTCCAGTTCCGGGGCCGCCGCATCCACCTAGCGCCCCCACAAACCTGGGATGGCTATGATCCTAGCTGGAATTAGCAGTGTCTGCCTGTCCCTCCTGGGCCCCTTCCTTGCCATATCATGAGCTGGGATGGGACCACAGTCCCCAGGCTGCATTGTCCTGTCTCCCTCTCGGGTCCATTTATCTTTTTTTTTTCCCTCTCTTTTTCAAGTGGCATTCGAGTGCACAGATGATAAAGTGAGGGTTATTATCCTGTTCTCAAGGGAGTCAGATCAGGGCAGCCATTCTGGAGTATGTTGGGTACCACTGTGTGGTAGGGGGAGACTTGGGCTTGTTGGAGCCGGAAGTGTCCATGTCTTGACTTTTCTCCTAAGGCATCTGCAGAGAGGTTGGCACTCTTGACTGGGCCTCTTCTCCCTGACCTAGCCCTTCTAGCCAGGGCATGAGTCCTCCTCCTGCACCTATTGCCTTCCTCACCTTCCCCCAATGGGGGGTTGGGTTATGGGAGAAGAAGACATATTTATGGCCAAAATGAGACTAACCAAAGGGTTTCACCATCAGGATCAGGTTAGAGCTGTTAGGTTGTCAGGGTTTACTGCCTCCCGCCCTTCTCCTTATCCCTGACCTTCTCTCAGCTCTTTTCCTGCAGCCTAGCAATTTGTGGTTCTAAGATGAAAAGTGGAAGGGGAAAAGCAAGCCCTCTCCTCAGCTCATGCCCAGCTGTTGGGAGGAAAGGTGATGGGAGGGCAGCCTCATTGTGCTGGGGCAACTCCTACCTTGTCTTGCCTCAAAAATACAATCCCCTCCCCGATCCTTTCTAAAAATCAGTCCCCTCCCTGTCGCTTTAGGAGGGTTCCTTGCTGGCTTGGTCAAAGACAGAATTAGCTCCTGTGTCCCCTTTCCTCCTAGGGTTTGGTGCACAGGCTCCTCCCCAGGAGAAGGGCCACACTCATGGTGACAAGGACGTGACCAGGATGACTCTGGGCCTGGACCAGGTGCTGCCCAGCCTGCCACCATCCCCCCAAGCATTCACATGTCCTCACAGGCTTGGATGCAGGTGGTAGGTTGGAGAGGAATTTGTGTGTTTTTGTTTCTTGCCTGACCTCAGTTTAATGGAGGAAAGTGGAAACTACAGAATTATTTTTAAAAATAAAGGCTGAATTGTGTGGAAAATATTTGTGTGTGTGTCTCCTGGAAAAGGGGGTGAAGGGGAGGGAAAAAACGAAAAGGGAGAATGAGGACTAAAAGAAAGGGCTAGACAGGCAAGAGAAAGTGGATAAGTTGAAGGAAGGAAAGCAGATGACCAGAAGAGAAGGGTGGAGGGAGAAAAGCCACAGGACAGTTGAGGAGGGGACCAGGCAGGAAAGAAAGGCCAGGCTTGAAGGTGGAGAGGGCTACAGGCCTTACTCCTACTGTTAATCTTCCCTAGAGCCGAGCTGTGGGCCCCTCAGCAGGGCAGTTGATGAGCCTGCTTCCAGCTAGCTAAGCAGGCCTGGTCTGGGAGAAAACTGGGTCATCTAAACTAGGTCCAGCTCTCAGAGAGTGGGTGCTTTGTACTGGGCGCCCTCTACTGGCTCAGACAGTATTTACTGGGCACCCTCTGGGACTTGCCAGTGAACCCCAGGATGTGCAGCTGATACCAGAATAGGCTACACAGTGTCACTTAGACTCCTGATTGTGACCTCAATGAGAATGCTTTTTATGCTAACACCCAGAACACATACATGCACACCTAATGTGCCATGAAACTTTATTTACCCGTAATCACATGCAGCACATTCTGAGAGTTTCTATTGTCCACTAATTCATTTAAAAAAAAAAAAAAAGTTCCTTGTGACCTACCAACTTGATTTCATTAGTAGCTTTGAAAACCCCTGGCTAGGTGACTTTGTAGACAGAAACCACTTCAGAGTTTTACATCAGATGGTGCCAAAGATCTCTGGGTGAGCTCTGTCTAGAGGGGACAGCCACATGGCCACTGGGGAGTAGCTCCAGCCTCCTTTCTGGGCTCAGGAGTGCAGATTGTAGTAAGAGAGCCAGCATCAGACATTCACTTTAACCTTTTAGGTTTGTGTGGAGCTAGTTTTGTCTTCCTGTGTTGCTCTTAGATGGATTATTTAACCTTATTTTTGGTTAAATAAGGGAGATGGTTATTATCTATGATTTGCAGATACAGAGACAGGCCCAGAGAGGCATCACACCTGACTCATTTGAGCTGGGAGTAGTTAGGCTGCCAGACTGCATGTTCTTACCACTCAATTTAACAATTCCTAAACAAGTACATTGCCATTATATGTAATACTAATTTATTTAATCCTCAGAGAATCTTGGGTGGTAAATACTGTTTTGCTGCTGTTTTAACCAGTGAGGAAACAGGCACATAGAGGTTATCTTGTTCAAGTTCACACAAGCATCCATATTTCCACACTCTCCCTCATCTGTGTTTAAACCTCGGTTGTGTATCCTACCAGACTTAGTCACATATAATAAGTAGATAAAACATTTTTCAATAAGATCCATGAAGTTATGTAATATTTAGCTTATGTAAGTTTATATAACTTAGATAAATTTATATAACGTATAAATTTACCCTCTTTCTTAAATATCTTTAACGTGGGATTTCAGGCTTTCTGCCAGCACCTCTGCAGAGGGCAGTGATTTGCCACCAGAGGGGCCCTTGCACCACCGTCTGTTCTCCCACCCTCCCACCGTCTAGCCAGGGCAAGTCACAGGGAGATTATACTTGGGAGCAGAGGTCAGGGGCCCATGCTGGTGAGGCGACTGGTGTCACATCTCCTGTCCTGAGGCACAGAGACCAGGCTTGGTGACTGAGGTCATATGGTGTGACGGACCTGAGCTGGACCCTGCTCTGGGCCCACTGCCCACCTGTCTGATTCTGCACCAGCCATTTGTCCTGCCAGAGCCTCTTTCCAGGAGGCAGGGACAGCAGTAACGTCCTGTTGGGGTGGTTGTGTAGATTAGCTAATATGTGAATGAAGTCCAGTCGAAGTCTCCATTCCTGTGAGGCAGGAACAACAGTACCTCCTTCCAGGGTGTTGTGAAGATTGCCTAATATGTGAACAAAAGACTGATGGGAATTTCTCTCCACTGCTTTCCTTTTCCTGGAGGTTGAGTAGAAAGGGGGCCTGGCAGTACTGAGGCTGTTACACTTTCCCCCACCACCTCCCTTGGCTTACCTGAAGTTTGGCTGTTTATACTAAAGCTGTATGACAGTGTGTCAGAATTACATAGGTTTAGCTACATATAGCAGGAAACCTGGATCACAGTGCCTTATAGAAATGAGAGGTAGGTGTGTAGGGGTGGCATGGTGGTTCCCGATGTCATCAGAATCCCAGATGCCTTCTGTGTCTCTGCCTCACTCTCCTTAGCATGAGGTTCCATTCTAGGTGTCACTTCTTTGTGGCAGGAACTCCAGCCATCACGTTCACATTTTAGGAAGGAAGAAGAGAGGAAGAAAGAAGGACACAAGGACGGCCAGCTGCCACCCTTTCCTGGAAGCCCACAAACAGTGCCTAATCGCATCTCTGTAGCCAAAACTGGATCACAGAGATGCACCCATCAGCAAATGAGGTGGGAAAAGTAATTTTTCTCCTGAATCAAATTAAAATTCCTTTTACTAAGGAAGAAGGGAGTGATTGTGGGCAACTACAGGGACCTTTGCCACACACGGGGCCTGGAAGACCGAACTTGCAACAGTGGCAGGGAGGATTTGGAGAGGACTTAGACAGACAGGGCAGGGTGATGGAGAGATTTCCAGGAGTGCAACAGGAATCCTGAGCAGGAAAGGGGAGAACTAAACTTCCCACAGGCCCTTAGCCCTAGTGGGTTGTGTGAGAAACATGTCCTACTGTGCTGAAGGGGGTTAGGCTTTCACAGGGTCACACGACAACTGAAATTCTATTTTTTTTTTTCCTTCTGGCTGGCTTGAACGAGGATCTGAACCCTTCACCTTGGTGTTATCAGCACCACAGTCTAACCAACTGAGCTAACTTGGCCAGCTCTTGACAACTGAAATTCTTACATGCCACTCACAGTCCCAGAAATGCCAATGGACCAGGGACTCAGTTTTCTATTTTGTTGTTGTACCATCTTCAACACATGGCTTCCAGCTCACAGTCCAAGATGGTGCCCGGCTCCAGCCACCAGCATGGAGGAAAGGGAAAGGGAGGGCAAGTCTCACTGTTTATAGAATGAAACCAATGTACATTGCCTTCCCTCACATTCCATTCACCAGAACTTAGTCTGGTTTCCCTAGTTACAGGGAAAAGTGGGAAATGGAGTCTCGGTTTGGCAGCCATGTGTTCATGTGAAACTTCTCTTACCATGTACATACGAAGGGGAGGATGCTTAGAGAGAGGCAGCTTTCTTTGAGCGTGGGTAATATGGCAAAACCTGTCAAAAACCTCTTTCAGAATAATGTTTGCAAGGGCCGGCCCGTGCCTCACTTGGGAGAGCGTGGTGCTGACACCACCAAGCCAAGGGTTAAGATCCCCTTACCGGTCATCTTTAAAAATAATAATAATAATAATGTTTGCTTACTTTTTAAAGTTTCTATTTAGCAAAAGGGCAAAGCTCCTCAGAATCACGGGCAGGTGAGTGGTAATCAGGCCTCACCAAGTGCCCTCAATTCTTTCCCTGAGGACGGTAACAAGAGCACCCCACTGTGAAAACTGCTGCCTGGGTCTAAATGAAGCCGAGTGGCAGAAGCAAGGGTGTGTGGATTCCAAGGTGCGCTTGGAGCCAGAGCTGCACCGAGCTGCGTGTCAGAAGTCCAGCTTCCCTGAGACTGCCCTTCTGGAGAGGCCAGGAAGAGTGGCCAACATCCAGCATGGTCTGCTGGCCAGATTAGTGAGCCACCTTGGACATCCAGTCCCATGGGGCCTTTAGGTGTCCGCAGCTCTGGCCAAGGTCTGACTGCAACTGCGTGGAACATGCCAAGCAACAAGTGCCCAGCTGAGCCCTTCCTGAATTTCTGACCCACAAATAGAAAAATAAAATGGTTATGTTTAACTTTCTAAATTTTGAGGTAATTTTGATAAGTGACAATAGTAACTGGAACTCTTGGGTACTATGTTCTGTCATTGAAATGTTAGAAGATTTTATGTAACCAATATGAAATGTTTAAGGAAATATTTTGAAAATAAGACTTTTTAAACATTTACTCATCAATACCCAGGGGGAGGATATTGTTATCTAGAAGACTGGTTCTTTTATTTAGGTGAAGTTGTCCTTGAACTTAGGGATGTATCTTTTTTTTCCCTCTGAAAACATTTTAAAATTTTATATTCAAAGTGTTCTCTAAGTTTTTGGTATAAAAAATTTTTAAACCCATAGGGAAGTTGAAAGTACCAAGAAGATTCATATTGCTTCCACTGAGAGGATACAAAAATTAATATTTTGCCGTATGGCAAATATATATAATTTTCTGTACCATTTGATAGAAAGTTGCAAAATAAATACCTTATTTTTAAAATAACCTTTTTTCTTAATTATGTAGGTAATATGTGTCATTACGTAACTATTGT